CTTTGTCCCTCACCTGTAGATGACCGAAAAAAATGTTTCTCCTTGATCCAAGATATTACAAAAAAAACTGAACTTAACCAAAAAGGTAAACAATTATTTAAACCTAGCGTTCTTCAAACAATGTAACAAGGAGATTGCTTAATTATTCATTACACGGTGTGCTATTGTGTCAAAAAGTAAAAGTCATAACAGAAAGTCGCTGTTGGAGAACGTCTTGAACAAGGTAAAAAAAAAAAAAAGAAAAAAATACCATAATTTGTAATAAACTTCATGTAAATTAGGCAGGATATTTCCTTGAGGACTGTCGGCGAAAAAGTAGAGACGTTAAACCCAACGAGAAATCATCCCATATTTGTCAAGAATCATTTCGCAGGACAATGTATCACAAGAATTAACCAGAAATATAAAAGACCATGTTTAAACTTTTGAAAAGTAACAAACGAACGCCGAAAATGATCAACTTCCGTAGGCAAGAGTACAGCAACTAACAAATCTGTTTAAATGCTGATATCAACTGTCTCATTTTTTTCTCATTTTCACGGTCACTATTCATTGGCATAGAATTATTTTCAAATGTTGTTAGTTTGTAGTGAGACGTTCTTTTAAAGGGCGAACAGCAATAACATTTTTTTAGTCACATCTCCAGACACAAGATACAACAACTCACAGCAGTGTTTCTGCCTTTCATGTCAATAGCTACAAGAGGGAGAGAGACAAGATGACAAGAAAAGGGTTGACCATAATTCTGCTGATGGTTCTTAATGTTATTATGTTTGGTAAGCTGTGTAGCGTCGTATATATATTAATTGAAGGAAGACCAATGTTTTTCACGAAATTGCGTCAGAGGAGAACACATGAAGTATCTTGTTCCAGCGCTTTTCGGTCCTTTCGATTCAAAGTCGTCGCACTACAAGTCATTTCGCTTAAGTCGAAGGCGATTAGCTGCAAATCATGAGTCGTTTCGTTTCAAATGAAAATAAGTTTTACGAAACGACTCTAAAACTATACGACCGAGAACTCCCTCAAACCTTTCCTAAGTAAGTAAGGCTAGATTGTTTTGTTGTTTTTTCTCGAGTCTAAATATTTCCTTCGACATGCATTATTTTATTTAGAAAACAAGTGTGATGCTTTGTAGAGCTATATCCATGTAAGTCGACTTTAATGTCTTTCGTCGTGATCGATATCAGTCCCTCCCGAGTAATGGTTTGTTCTGGGTTGTCCTCTTTACTGCGACGCCTACTTCCCTTGCTGACCTTGAAAGGACAATTCTGGAAGGACAAGTTGTCTTGTAGCTCGTCTGTGTCAAATTGGGGATGTTATGTATGCGAGATCGTTCTCTCTTCTTAAAATAATAATTAAGGCGGAAAAGGAACAAACTATCGATTTGGAACACCTAAATAAAGTAATTACTTTTATTTTCAAACCAAGTTTATAAACTTTTATAGATCATAAAGCAATTAATCCTGCTCACTCTGTTTCGCAAGATCTGCCAGTATAACTTTTTAAATTACTACCCGATAAACTAATCGTTATCAGCAACTCTTGCAAAATCAAGAGCAGTCGATATTTCTCTTCTCATGTGGAGCTGTTTTTCCGACAAGTGTTTAAGGAGCTCTTCTTTTAATTACCATCTCCCATAAGACAGGCATATGATTCTCTCGTTTACTCTGTCTTAGTCAACAGAACAAACACAATGCACTTAAGCGTGATCTTATTTTTATCCTATCAAGATATATCTTTGTACCATCAAGTGGACGGATCATGTGGATTTTACCAAACACCCCCCTTCATTGACACCGACTGGGTCGCATGTCTCAACAAAGAGAGGGATAGCATCGGAAATGATATATGCCCACTCGGTCTTACGAAGGTTGACGACGGGAACTGGTGTAACAAAGATCGCGTGGACAGTGTTTGCTGCTTGCTGCAACCAAAATTAAAGTTTAACGTAAACCTCAACTTTTATTATATTTCGAGTTACAGAACAGTCATTATTATTCGCCTTAAGGAAAGGTGAATCAGTCGTCGTCAACATAGACATCATGGTCAACATAAACGAACTTACTAAGGAGGGGGGAATCAAAAGAACATTGCAGAGTCTCACGGACATAAATAATTACCGATCCCGAAGATCGTTTAAATACTGAAAAAAAAAATTCCAGCAAAACACAACAAAACTAAAATCGCAGGTGAAAGGGTACGGGATTAGTGCGCTTGACTCCGCTTACAAAGGTCACGATTTGATCTTTGCAAGGAAAGCAAAGACAAGCAATGAAACTTGGCTTGTGAATTAAGCTTCTTAAGTAGATATGTATAAAACTATTTTATTACTTATTGTCCTAAAAGAACCTCTAATGAGACAAGGAAGGTTTGAAATACATACGGGATTAAAAAGCAAGCAAAAATAAGAACATTTCACAAGGTTTTACTATAATACCTCGATTACCATTTCCTTTCCCATGGAAAAGTCAAGCCTGGCTATTTTTACTTTGGAAAAGTAATTTTTTTGTAGGGTTTTTATTATTTCACGAATTATATATTTATTTATCATCTACTCCTTTATTTTGCAGTTAAACAAGGCTGAATGTTCTTGAAAGAGCGGATTTATTAGCAAGATCTGCAAACAAAATCTTCCTTTGCTACAAAGCACTGATATGTATTCATTAGTTCAATTTACTTCTGATAGTACAGTCAGGGAGTTGCGCATTTCGCCAACTGAAGAATGAAATACTGTTATAAAATAGAAAAAGATTAATAAAACATTATGTTTAAGAACAACTGAATTTACTTGGCTTTCCAAGTGGCTTCTTATAAAATGTTCCCCTGACGTCGTAATTAGTGTCCTTCAGTTTCACGACGTTCAAGTGAAAATTGGTTTTTTAAAATGCTTTGTAATAACATTTAACTGTGAAACGTAATGCATGCTAGCCCGATGACGGTGCCATTTTCCATCGTAATAGCTTTTCAGGCAATATTATAGAAAGGGAAGAAATTAAACAAAAAGACCATCTCGCATGCGATTTTAATAGACCTCATGAAACACGAGCCATATTCAAGCAAGGGCCTGCTAAAATTTAGTCCAGTTTTTATAAGATTGTACTTGTAGCTGCCAAGATTTTGTCTCAGAAAATTTTTAAATACTGGCATATGTTTCGAGGGAAGCACAGTGTTCGAATTACCATGAAAAGTACGGTAACTGTGACCTGGTCATGATTTGGACGAGTACCTGCCACTGCACCAAATCTGGTACCCGTATTGATACCTGCTTGGGTGTTGGAAAAACTGAATGAGAACACTCACCTGAATTTCGTCCGTAATTTTTTTAATCTCGATGACACACCATTTTGTACTTCATTTGATAAAAAAAAGAATAATTATTTAATTTTGGCATGTCGAAATTGTATCATATCAATCTGGAGGGAATCAAATTCAATTCTGATCTACTCCATCCAAACACTTTTTCCCCTGGATAACTAAACGTGGTCCTTACCCAATAGTATAGAAACCCTTTCTATACAATTAGCTAAGGACATCGAAATTCAATATTTCTTTAGAAGATGTCGTTCAACCAGTTGGCAATTAGTCGATCAGTCCTGTTAATTAATCAGAAATTAAAATAAAAATTCAATTCTCACGCTTATCTCGAGAAAAACCCAGAATATTTTGAGTTGTAACTGATTGTTAGCGCAGTAGAGTTCTACTTTCCTCCTAACATTATCAGAGTTCTTTATGTCTTTAGGGGAATCCAAGTGATAGAACTAGTTTCCCAAACATTGCATTGACAGGTACCCTGAACGAAATAACAAATCAGTGAAGCGTGCTGCCTCACAATTAAAGTACTTTTTATGTTTACCTCGCACAAAGTTGTAAATGTATCTTTCATAGAATTGAAGGATCTCAGAGGTAAGCGATACTGCACTGATAAAGGTTCATACTAATCATAACATGACCAATATCCTTTCATGCTCTCTACAACGAGTCATACTCGGATCCATCTATCACTAATTTTTACGTATTTTTTAAAGCATCATATAGTACGCGGCGTTTTGCATTGGCCTGAACCCACGTTAATGTTAACCTTCAAAAATGCCATTTTCTCAGTTAAATTTTACCATCAAGGGTATTTTTTTAACGTATGCCCTATTCATACTATAGTTTAATTACAAATATAACTTTGTAAGAAATTTTCAGGTATGATTATTCAAAAACATAACGGGCAAGATGAACGTAATCATAATACATATCCCACTTCTCTGGTGTATAAGTTTCGTTGTTTGACTCGTCGTAACAAACATCAAACCCTTAAGGAAACTTCAACAACAAAACTGGTCAAATGCATTAAGAGACATAATCTTGATTTTTCTATGTTTTGCCGTGCACTCAATTGCAGACGGCTGGCGTTATTAAACGAGCTCTTAGTTAAGACTCGAATACTTCGAAATCAGGCGTGTAATTCAAACAAAATTTATCTTCCACTTGATTCCAATGTAAGTACTATCATAGCAGTTTAATTTATTGTTTTTAAAAAAATCGTAGGCCGAATAAAGAGATCGGGAATGAAGCTCCTTAAAGTGATCATGCTTGTGATGGCTGCAATAATATCTGGTAAATAACTATTTTCCTATCATTCGGTTTCCTCTTTGGGAAGCACTTCGAACTTATTTCTTTACGAGGACGATTAAAATAGAATTGTAACTAGAATTTTTTATTGTCAAATTTATCAGTCTTAAATATAGCGGGGAGATGATTTCACGTTATGTTTTGCAAAAGTGAGCCAAGAAACCTAAAAAGTTTATTTCATACCTTAATAACTATTGCCCTGCTCACTAAATCTTTGGTTAAGTGATCTTCCCTTTACCGTCAACGCGAATATTTTGTAAATGTACCTTGTAATGCTGTGACTGCTATGTGTGCCCTTCTTTAAAGGTAAAAGCCTCTAACATGACTTATACTATGCCTCAGCACACTATGTTTCGAGCAGGTGTAGTGGCACAAACTATATGTTTGATCCTAACGACTATACCAAGAAAATTTATGCACCCTACGTTGGTGATACGGACTGGGCAGCTTGTTTCGTGGCAACAAATCCAAATGCAGATGAAAACGACCTGCTATGTCCTCACAATTTCAAGAGAATAAAAGACGAAAACCGTGACTGCGAAGATAAGTTCAAAAATGGTGCGACAACAACGCTAAAAAGGATTTGCTGCCTGATAGAACCAACAGCCTCAATGGAGGTAAACAATTATATTTAGTTGGATCAATTCATGTAGGAGAAGCATGCGTACGAAATTATAACGTTTTCATCCTGTCAATCAGAAGTGAATATGATTGCACAGCATAAGGCGTTTAAGACTCCCCAGAGTGATCCACCTCGTCGAAAATCCCTTAATTTGGATAGGAATTCAGTCCAAAATGGATGTATTGAAGAAAAACTGACATGGCCTCCTGAGGCATATTTCTTACATTAAAACACTTCATGTCATTATCATTAGTAGTAATGGCATCATTATCCTTGTCATTATCATTGTCATTATCGTTAATAATTTTTTTGTTGATGTTGCTTTTACTGTTTACTGGGAACATTTTGTTTTGAATATCAATCATATCAAAGGTTTCCATTACCGATAACATCATATCAAAGGTGCCACAGAATTTGAATTTACCCAATGCAAACCGATGTAAAGAAAGCACTTTATTCGGAGAAGTCATATTTGATATTGTTTCTTTGATCACTTCCGACATCGGACCAGTTTTTAACCTTTCTAGCTAGCTCAGGAGTGTCTATTTTGGTTCAGAAAATGCATTGTTGGACCACCTATTGATGCTGTTGCTTTTTCTGTTCTTCAGGTCCTCAATGCTCCATGCTTAAAAGGATTTTCTTCATGATTTAGATAATGTGAAACAATTAAAATTATTTGTTTATTACATTGCAAATCTTGATTGACGTCTATCGCTTCAACTTTTGTGCGTGTATAAATAGTAGTTATGCGGGTCAAAGTCAGTATCTGAGCAACTATGCACCTAACCTTCCCTTAACCCAACCTTTACCCTCTCTCGTTGTCAGTTTGACTGCTGTTGAGTTAGGGAAGGGAGAGGTAGGCACGCATTTGTCCAGATACTGACATTGATCCCAGAAAATCTCAGAAAATGAAGGCTAATAGGAAAAAGAAGCGTGAGCGTTTTCTCAGCTTCTGCAACGCTGCTGGTAATCGAATTACGAAGTCACCTGTTTTTCAATTTGATGCAAACTTTGCCCAAAAACAAACTTCTGACATTTTCAGAAGGGTAATGTGATGTAATCGAAACTCTACTGAACATTGGTTGGTTCGATACACTCATTTCTAAAATGACACCTCACAAATAAGCCTTTCCCACGCATTGAGGTTATGATGGGATAAGAAGGTTTTACACAATCCATGGCAAGTTTCAAAAGGGCAAACTTCACTGCATTTCTTTTCCCCGCCCATTTTGATATTCCTCTCAATGTTTACTTTTGCCCTTTGTATTTGACATCACTCCTGGTTTGTTAAATGAGATACTAATCCATCCTGGCTAAGCTGCCATTAATGATAAATAGAATGTGGTAACATGCTTTATGACTCACTTTTCAGTTATTGTTCTCCTTTTCACACTATCTTTCTTAAAAATACTAAAGAGATTTAACAAAATAAAGGGATCCTAAGGAATCAGCAGCACCATATCGCAGAAAATTTCTAGCAGTTTCTTAACTATTAACAAGGGCCAAGGGCGTCTCCGGGATTTTTCAAAGGGGGGAGGTGGGCATACTGTGTCAAACAGAAGGTTCTCACCAGTTTTCGCCACCTGAATATTTTAGGTTGTTTAAAAAATGGCTTACAAAGAGGGGGTCCCTGACACTCCAGGAACCCCCTCCCCCCCAGCTAGGCCCTTGATTAGTGAAGCGTTGATTAGGAGGAGTAAAACGCCATAAGAATCCGCTGGAATAGCTGACATATCGGGGGCTGTCTGCTATTATCAATAGTTTCGAAGTCAAAGAAAAACTACAACGTTCGCCTATCAAAATCGTATGCCGACAGTTTCTTACTTACCTGTTACATTTCATTGATTTACAGATTTATTATCTAATTCCCTTCTCGATCATTTGGCCAAAAAGAGAGCTGCAACGTAAAGCTTAAAATTCACCCCTATCATTTAGTACCATGTTTGTGTTTGAAAGCCATCCCTGCGTAAAACCTTTTTCAACAAATAGCTATTGTATTAAATCACCACAAACAAAAAATGTATATAATTACCACGTGTAACCTGGTACCAATTTTCGCCTTTATCTTTATGTGTCAAATCATTGAAGCGATTACGTTTGAAATTTACTTAGTTGAGAAAATTTCAAATGGGATATATTGTTACTTCTTTTATTCCAGCTAAAGGGGCACTTCTGCGACCAAGACTACCTGTTGATGTAAGCTGAAATTAATGGTCAAAACCCGAAAAATAACGGATTCTTTGAATGGGGAAAATCGTTGAGTGCTTTTATTTCATTTAGGTTTATATCTGTCGTCTTGCCTGATACTTGCTCGCACTTGTTCTCTCCCAAGCAATATCAAAGAACGTAAGTTTTTAGCTCAGATTTCTAATCAATATCCATACTTCAGTCAAAGTTACCTAAAATGTCATTTTTACCCCCCAAAACTCTGTTACACTTGCATTTTATAGATATAGACTTGTAAAAGCCAAAGATTCGCTTTTATATCTGCAAACATTACATCTAAGGTGGAGTTCAGCAAAAAATTATTTCTATTGTCAATAATCCAATGCTAATAAGTATCGAATGGGGCTACTTTGCTTTCTATTACTTATTAAATTTTATAGGGAGGTTGCCTCGTACAGTTTTGTCATTTGAGCTTAACACCCACGAGTACATCACCATGAATTCGGAAATTTTGGTTACCATGTAGCGTGCTAAGAATTGGCTATTAAAAGACTTCAATCATCGCATAAAAAGTTCACTTTTATTCCATGGAAAATTTCTGTTGTTCACTCATCCTAAGGCGTAATAAGTTATTAAGAACTTTCAAATGTTCCCCTCTCAAACCGAAATGAGAAAAATATGATCGATGCTAAAATATTACCTTCTCATATAACACAAAATTGGTGTTTTGATCCTCCCATGTACTCTGTTCATTCCAGAATCGCCAGTGTCCTTGTGTCATACACAGCATGAAGTTTTTAGCTTTTGCAGTTGTCCTTCTCTCGATGGCACTATTAGGTAAGAAGACAAGCTCAATTTGATTTGAAAAATTAAAAAAAAATTAATTATCTTAAGCTTACTTATTTAAAATTCTACTGGACTTATTGTGAAGGAAAATCCGCCCCTTTGAGAGGGCGCCAAGTTGCAGACCAAGGAAAATATGAACGATCTTAATAATCGAGCCAAAAGGTGTAATCTTACACTTCGTACTAAAAACTATAGCAATTGCATCTCGCACACGTGCGAACCGCTGATGAACGCGCAACCAGTTATAAGCTCTTAATTGCTGACGTTTTTTTTTCTTTTAATCCTAGCATTTCCAGCACGCGGTGACTGTGGGACACAAATTTACACCAAATGGGCTACATGTGTGAAAACATCATGTCCTCCCGATTCCTTGTCTCTTCAGGTCAATGGTAAAACTTGTCCACCTGACCACGTTTGCTGCCTTATGCGACCCAAAATAAATTTCAAGGTAACTTTCAGATCGATTTTTTTTGCAATACGTAGTTTAAGTTTTAGCTTAGATTGGAAGTATCGTAATGTTCTGAAACAAACGTAATTCATTCCGCAAGGACTCTTACCATAAATTTTATTTACTTTCAGGTTTAATGAGAGATGAGTCTAAATGAATTTGAATACAATTTAATTTCTCATACGCGTTGTTTAATTTTTTTGTTCATCAGACGGTTGAATCACATTGTGACCAGTAATCCGATGAAGGCAAAGGCAAATTCTTCGTTCTTAATGAGACATTTGTTTCAGTAATTACAGCATAATGCGTGTAACTTCGATCTCCTGATTTCTCTAAATAAAATGGGAATAAAATCGCCTTTGACAGGAACGTCGCGAGTGACTTATTCAGAATTATGGTGTCCTGAGTTTGTTTTGTTTTTACATGATTGAACTCTCTCACTGTAAGCATTTGAGTGTGTTACGCTTTTTTCGTTAAGTAATTTGCAATAGTATATCCGTCCATCTTCATTCCTATAAGAAGGTGCCTTCAAATTGAATTTGATTTGACATTAACCAGAGGTGTGATATGCCTGACCATGAGGTAGATTGACATGGAATTGTATAAAAAACCCAAAAAGGTGATTATTTTTGCCTGAGAACATGAAATTTTAAGATGCCTAAGCCTTTCCACGTCTTTCGACAGCTCCTTAAACCTGTTAGTTTGTTGTGGATGGAAAGGGTTTCTCCGTGTTCTGTTCCACTCCTTTATTTAATCACGGAGCTGCTACATAAGAAAAAAAAAAGCAAAACACTACACGGTTGCTGAAGAAGTTTGGTAAGGGAGATAAAGAGCACTGGTAGTATTTTTTGCTGCTACAGCGAGATTTGATGCTCAGCAACCCCTGAGGCCCTTTCATAGCTAAAAGTTGTCTCTGTATATTAAGGAAGATTAGCCAAGTATAGAAAGCAGAATCTACTTTTCATATAATCATAGCCACCCGCTGTCCCTTTTTGCTCTTGGCTATTGGATACCTTGAGGCAGAATGCTAGAAAGCGAAACTTTTGCGTAATAGAAGGATGAAAGAAACTGCAGAGTTCAGCGTATTTGAATGGCTTTTGGAATGTAAACGACTATATTTACATCATGAAAGAGTTCCGCTGTCTTAAATAGCGAAAATGAGCTTAAATTAAGTGCAAAAACCTTTCGACGAGCACTTGATCAATGCACGCTGTTTTTTCGGACCTTATCTCGGGAACGAACATTGGCATAGCGTCAAGTTCTCATTGTATCGATCCTTCATGTCATTAGTCCCTTGCAAACTCAGTCCAGTTTAAATTTAGCCTTATATCTTAACAACAGAAGTTAACAATAGAAGTCTTTCATCCGGAACGTTAATTGCGACAAGATTGAAGCACTGGATCACGTTCTTTCAAATGCAAACAAGGCACACCTAGTGGAATGTGTTGCTTCTTTACTCCCAGTATGCAAATCTCAACTGAGACCAGCGAAAATTCTACTTAGTTCTTCAGTTGTTCTTCAAGTTTCCTTTTTCAAGAGAGCGATAGAGCCAACCAAGTTTGTGTTATTGAATATGTCATCGCAGAAGTACAAGGTTAAAAGGTAAGTTAATTCTACAAAGCGCGTTTGCAAGCTCGACAAAGCGATAAATAACAACCACAGTCAAACTCGGTACAGCACGAGTTCTCTCGGTATGTAGAGATTTACGAGCTAAGACAGGGTGAGCTAAACAGGAATAATCGAAAGTTATTCCGATGAAATTTGTCTACTTATGCATTAAGCAACAAGTTTGCCAATTTTACTTATGCAAGAAAAATATTGATGCAAGGCTATCAATGAATAGATATATCACAATAGCATCGATACACAAGTTATCACAGGACTTTTAAATTGATCTGAGAGCTTCTGAGCCGTGGTGTTTAGATAAATGCAGTTGAATTAAAGACTTATCCAGATCACTCGTCATCAGCAGTCGTTCATAAGAACATGGAGCACAGCTGTTGTTTAAGATGTTTCGCTATGTTTGTATGTTATTCTTTATCAATAGAAAATCTCATTGATCCGTAGAAAGACAAAGAGAGTTTGAGAAATTAACTTAGCCTGAAAACGGCCTTTGAACGAGGACCGACAGCACGTTCTTGTTACTTTCCCATTGACATGGGCCATGCTGATAATTTTCATAGCCCCATCACTCAGAAACCTGTTCGATCCTGACTTTTCTCGATTAGTATTTATTATTATGCTGCTCTCTGTCCGCTGTTTTCTCGAAGAGCTTTTAATAGGGTGAAGGTCACCAAGACTTGTACAAAGTCCGGAAAAGAGGAGGAATCTGTTCACAGTTGTTTGCCATTGTTAATCGAATTAAGTTTTAAACTCTCAAAAGATATGTCTTCATTTTTGACCAAAATTGAGCGAAGACTTAAAACTATTGGCTTACCGCATGCAAAAAGAGAAACCTCAACATACTGGGAACTATTCAATTAAACAAAATATACTTGGGTTGGAATTTATAAACATTAGATGCATCGATAGTCAGTACTCTTATTATTATTCTTAAGGTAAGTGCTATTTGAAGTTCAAAAAGTGATAGTATACTACAACAACTGGTTTCGTAGACACTAATTTGCGGGTATCAAAGGTATGTTAGACAGCCGAGCAAAGGTTCCAGGGTTTTCCAAAAGCTAAATGTTCAATGGATTGGAAAAAACAATTGTAATCCTAATGAACAGATCGCACAATGCCTTCATGCCTCTACCTAATGCAACCACGATTTTATAATATTCTTCCTCAGAAAAATTATTATAAGAAGAAGGACAACTGCATTTGTAGTCGATCGCAAGTAACTAACTTTTCCTAGAAAATCTAGTTTAGCATTATTAATGAGAAATACTTGGTACAAACCGCAGAATAATTACGGAAAGGTACTTTATTCCAAATATCATCACGCGACTTAATAAACTCTGCTACTGATGCCAAAAGGAGATTGTAATTGAGACGATCAACCATTCTATCAAATTGTTTGAAGTTTATCAATTAAAAATAATTATCAGCTCACTTGCAGAAAGAGCCAATTTGACTGCCGCTTAACTTTTTGATTGCCTTTTTTAAAGTCTGCATGAGTAATTTAATTATGTTTGGGAAATACGTCTACTCAGTTGCCTGCTCTTGCTGTTTTGCTTCAGCTCTCTTCCGTTTTCGTTGGTGTACTTTCTCTTTCGGAAAATTTCACTCTAATTCACGCGAGTTGTTGCCCATAATGACGTAATGATTTGCAACAAATTTCATCTGTAAGTTAAAACAGGGGCATCTTCCTCCCTCCTCTTTGAGAAAAAGTGCTATTTCATCTGGATCCTTTGACTTTATGTACTTACTGGATATCTATCTCCACTGTCTTCAAACGCTAAAGCCTTGATTCGTAAATCCATGCTCTAAATTATTAGCTAGCTGACAGATACAGCTAACGAGCTCGGATAATAATGTGAACTCTAACCCTAAATTTTGCTTCTTTCGACAGTGCTGAGCAATTTGCCGAAGAATTCAAAGGGAAAGTGGCGGCATTTAGCCGAACACTACGAGGCCTAGAGGATAGAGCTAAGAAATGTGAATCTTTAAAGTCTCTTGTGAGTAGATTTCGCTGTGCCTTGTTAACACACAGCAGTTGTTGTTGTCTTTAGGGCCTTTATGTTAGAGTACTTGTTCAAATCCCTTTTTTTAGGACAAGGGATCCACCAAAACAATTGCTTACGAGGATGGAGACAAAAAGTACATGCTTGATTGGCAGCCCTATTTGAATGACTGCAAAAGAAGATTGTCGAGGTATGAATCTTCAAAACTGTAAACAGCCAATTTAAATGGCTTTCATTATTGCCCGTGTTTCGTGGACTTTCAGCGACCCCTCTACCAATTAAAACTGTTTTGACAACTGCTCAGTATAAAAATTGGTATCTCCCTAAGTTACTACTTTTTTATTCACACTGACGTCATTATTTTTAGCATTAGGGTTTCCGATGTAATGCAACCACTTATACCAGAAGTAGGTGTGCTTCTTGACTGAGCCAAGAAAGCATTTGAAAAAATTTGTCAAAACGAAAGTGTTACTTGGGTCCCTTGATAGATGTGGGCATAGATGATCGAGCTAGTAAATCCTTCTAATGTCATAATGTCGGAGTTGACTGCAGTTGGTGGGGGTGCATTTAGAACTTTATCAGCATTTACTTTATCCAGTATATAATTATTATTGGTCGGTGAAAGACACGATTCTTAAATAGTTTATTAAGCTGGTTGAAAAGTTGGAAAAAGTGCTTTGAACTTCTGGAAAGCAATTCATACTTGTCACATGGCAGGGTTCACTTTAATAACCGGAAGTACCCATTCGAGTTCCTGAAAAACGCGACCTCACATGGACAAGTGTCAAATAAAACAGCAAACGAGTCACCTCTCTTATCTTCAATATTATTTTTTAAAGATCTTTAGAGAAATTGAAGGAGATCCAGAATCATAGAAAACAGAGAAAAATTTCTTTTATTGGCTCCATCAAAGAGGCTCTTCCTTCCTGGTCCAAAAAGAAAAATCCTAAACATCTTTTGCTTTATCAGCTGATAAATGACACAGAAGATTATCAGGTAAGCAAACTCTGACCAGCAGTATCACTGATTTCTAAAATATATAACATCAAAATGCAAGGGAAAATAGGAACTTAGTGGTTAGGTTTTATCTCATATTCTGATCCTTGAGGTAAATGTCTTTCGTCATGATTTCTGACCATCTTCATTCCTTAATCAACCATATATCTTTCACATACTCGTTTTGTTCCTTTCATATTCTGATTATCATTTTAGTTTAATGTTCAGGCAACGACCACATATAAAGATGTTATAGTATCATAGCGACATTACCTCCATGTTTTCGTGTTGAATACTACATGTACTCAGATGCATTTCATAATCGCTTGAGCCGTTGGATAGTGCACTTTACTTAAGAAGAACAAAGTGTCGCAACTGACAACGGATGGTAAAATGCGTGAGCGCTTATCCCTTCTTTAAAACAGTGACCAACGTGTCAGTGGCACATTACTTAAAAACGTTTCAACGCTTCGGAATATTCGTTCATTCGAAACCATTGTTATTACAAACAAAATCAGGCTTGAGGTTTTTTGAAATATGTTATAAATTGTGAGAGTTATATATTGTGAGAGTGTGATTCTTAAATTTCGTATTGCATTTCAAACTATCAATGCATTGTTAGTTGACTATGAGGATGGAGATATTATTTGTTAAGTGTGCCAGAAATTACGTCATTGTCACCTTAATCCCAATCTTTACAGAACTTATTAACGGACATCGTGAATCAAATCAAGCCAGCAGATGACCTCACAAGTCTGGTAAACAAAATATTTCAAGAACGAGACTCTAATCAGAATGATGAAATAACGAAAGAACTGGAAGGCATAACGATCAGGTGGAATTCACTTTGTCAAAATGTGATCAACAAAAGTGGCAGGTAAAAGTAATTTCATGCTTTTCCTTAAAAACTTCTTCTTTCTGCTTTGATGTGATCGAAAAACGTGACGTGTGAAAGTAAGTGAGCAAAAAAGATTTCCAAAGTGGTACCTTTAAGGGAAATAGAGTGATTAATTTTTATAGGGTATCCTACCTGATATACTGCAAGTAGGTCACCTTAGTATTGCCTAGAGTTATGAGCCGTGAAAGACAAGACATCGTTTGAGCGAGAAAGCACAGTGGCCCTTACGAGGCCTGAGAGCGAAGTAAGACAGATGAACTCTGTAGCAACCCACTTTGTTACCTTGTATCCCAGCGCTAATTTAAGCCAGTTGTGCGTGTTAACTTCCAGGTCACAAAATGATTATGTGATGGGTATACCCATCATCAATAAGCCATTTCCGAATTACATTTGGCCTCTTTTTAAAACGAGGCCTGTTGCTCAACGATTGGTATGAAAAGAATTTACTTTGCATATGAACGAAAAGTTACAATCATATGAAGGGATGAGCACCAGGACTCGCTTTGAAAATGAGGCCAACGGTAATTCGAAAAAGGCCTATTGTGTCGAGAATGGACCGAGGTGTGTATATAGATTTCATGGAAGGATGAGCGAAAAGTTCAGTAGAACAAACTAGCTCACCAAGTACTGACTGCGAGGAACTAGCTCACATTGCATTTCCGAGTTACCGATAAAATCCTAGAGATCATTTTCCTTTTAGTCTTGAATCTGTTGGTTTGGAGGTGGATCGTGAATACAAGAATCTGAATAATTGGTATGAGAAATATGACACCTTAAACACCTGGCTGCATCTTAACGAAAAGGTTCTGGACGAAAAAAGCCCTGGGAGTACAACAGCTATCATCAAGGAACACTTGGAGAAAAATCAGGTACTTTTTGAAAACAAAGCTACAAATAACACATGACACTAAGAACAATAAGAAAAAGCAGAAAAAACAAGCACGAAAAACAAAGAGTCCGAAGTATAGCCCCCCCCCCCTCGCCCCCCCATAAAAAACAATAGGTAAGTTTTGCTGCATGAGAAGTAACGAAAGTAACATCTGTCCGATATATGAGATTTCCAACTACAAGGCCATTTTTCCATTTAAAAGGAATTACGAAATTGACAACTTCTTCCTTACAATGGTTAACGAGTAAACAATGGAAATCTCGCGGAGTTAGTAATGAATGTGACTTATTCCAGGAGCAGCTCAAAAATGTGAAAGATCGCAAACCCAATTTAGAGGAAGTGGCTCGGGAAGCTGACTCACTTCTAGAAAGTAGCCGCTTAGATATGGGAGATGCAGAAAGGGTGGAACGATACAAAGAAGAATTGAACACCAGATACACAACTCTCATTGACAGGCTCATGGGAACCCAGAACAGGTAAGGGAATAAAAACGAAAGAAGCTAGCAATCAATGAGTACAAGCGATGTTGAGCTAATTCCACCCTCTAAATACCCTTCAGATATCGAAGTTTATGGTATTTCGAAATACCATAATCCACGTCCCATGTGGTTTCTTCCTTTTTCACTTTTAATAAGTCATCTCGAATCATCAAACTCAAAGAAAGTAACTGGAATTTAAAGGAAGCCTCTGAGTGGAAACCGTATACTGCATCAACTCAGAACTACAACTTTGATTCGCTGAGTTTTATATCTGGGAGGGGGCATGATATGCTTGCGCTGTAAGTAAATAATATCAAAAAAAGCGGGTGGTACTGCGTTACCTCGAACTTTTTTTCTGGTTTCTTGGAAGGTCGATTCAACCCTTCAACCTCGAAGAGTAAATGACTTTTAATTTTTCACTACAGTATAACCTTTGAATCAAAATTTATGAGAAATTAGGATACAGGATTATTTAAGGAAAATTTTGTCTGAGTCTGATATTAAGTGTTGTCAACAGGTTACATAACAGTATGCATGAACTAAGAAACGTTCCCAAAGAAACGGTAGAAAAGACAGAAACGGCCATCGTGGAGGCTTCACTGGAACCAAACCACAAGGTATGGGCTAGGCGGCGCAATTTATCTTTAATGCAAAGTGTTAAGCCTAAGATCATTCTGCACTGAGTAGGCGCATGGCTTATGGAATCTATTTGTTAAGTAATTCATTTATTGCACCATGTTGAATTTACAATGCCTTCCCACATCCCTTTCATATCAAGTCACCACCAAAGATCATTTCACCGTTCCATAAAGAAGATGAAACTAAAAGCAATGAGCAGAGAGTAAAAGATTCCATGACAGCTGTCAAGAAGACTATTGCACAAGAAGATAGGTGGATTCTAAAAACTAGGACAGAGGGTGGTAAAGCAAGGTTAGTGTTTGCTAAAGCAGAGGAAAATCTCAATGTTAGGCTGGAGACAAGAACTGAGACGATGGCATTTTGTCACCACTGCACGAGGACAATGCCTTTACAATAGTTGGCAGGGGACTTTGGCACTTACCAAGTTTTGAATGGAATTTTTTCTAGTGCCCCCAATTGGAAAAAAGGATTTGTTTTGGAAACTAGGCTATACCTCAACACTGGGAGTTACTTTCCCTATTCTTCTTGAGAAATGCTTGGGTTCTTAACTTACCCTGCTAATCAGCACAGATACGATGTAGAAGAAGGGCCTAAGCGGTTTATCGTACTTATCCGAGATGATTAGAACGCCTAACCGTTTGCAGATGTCATAGCAAAGGCAGCGCATTCTCCTCACTTATCTTGGACCCTAAGTGTTGGTCCGTCTGTGGCTCGAACCTTGGACCTCATGTATGATACTTTAGGGCTAATTTCATAATTATTCATCCGACAGGATTCAAGAAGAGACTACGAAAGCATTTGATTCGTCGCTGGACCTTTGTTCGAAGGCGCTGAATGAGCTGGACGAAGAATCGCTGCAAAAGTTTTCAGCTGCTGGTTCAAACATTAAAGAAGTTAGGGAGCAGCTCGATGAAATACAGGTAACTAAAAAAAAGAACAAAAATAACCATACCATGACTAACGCCGCTTGTAAAAAAAACGTATTTAGACGAACCTATTATATATCAAATTATATAAAATACTTGAGAATTTTTTCCTAAAATAACCCCCTCCTTTCTGCAAAAAAGGAAAAAAATTTAGACAGAAAAAAGAATTCAAGGGTAAGAGGGAGCGGTTTGGGGTACGCTTCTCGTCTTGTTATGTTACTGCGTCGCTATTTATTTAATTAAATGTCGGTTTTCTCAATAATATTTCTACTATCCTTCTAATTTATAAGCTAGTACCAAGACCCTACTTTCCATATATCTTCACACGTTGCTTTTGAAATTTGAGATATTTGATGTAAAAGGCCCAAACTTACATTGAAAATTAGTTAATGACCTCAGTCGCCTAGGGGTTATTTAGTACTCAATCCCACAGCAAACTGGAACCTGCAGAGACTCGAGTCTCACGAGAATTTCGGGTTGTGCTATTTCTCTTCCTCTTAACTAGTATTTGGTATATCTCTCTTGATATTTGAACCATTTTCCAGGATCTGGAACGAAAAATGTCCAAGGAGGATGCTTCATTTCGTTCGGTGAAGGAAACGTTTGAAGCAACTGAGGGGAAAACATTGATGAAACAGGAAGCTCGCGATAGGCTGCAAAGAAAAGTTAGCGATTTGAACTCCAGATGGGAGGAGATGTGGCGTTCTCATGACGTTAACAAAGACCGGTACGTGTCACTTGACCTCTGAAAATCAAGATATTTTTTTACCGCTAGATGTTATTTGACAAAAACATGTAAACATGCTGAATTGTCGAATATCTAGCGGAAACCTTCTGACCAACTTAGCAGGAGCTTATGAATGAATCACCTTAATAATCTCTACCAGCTAGCTCCCATTGTTAGTCTGGTATCAGACTGAGTAAATGTCTCTAACTGCCATTAGGGTATCGTAAACGTGGACCCTTCTTCTTCCTGGAGGGACAATGAACGACCTCGAGAATTAGATGGGGTCTTTAATCGGACACAGCATAAGCCATATTAGGCTGGAGTTTCTGAAAGGCCAGCGGCACATACCCAACGCAAATTCTTTTCTCTCCCCCCCCCTTCTTAATCTTAATCTAGTAATGCAATATCTCTCCAGAGTGTGGAAAAGAGTTTATAAGGGACACGTGATTGAGGCCAAAATTAGCAAATGACGCGTAAATATTACAGAGGCAGACGTGATTCGTAAATAATTTAGCAGCGTGAGGCGTTATTTACCTCATGAAATAAACGTGATCCGTTGATTTCTTCCGTCATTTTGTCAAAACCTCAATATTTCCCTGAAAACTCGAACGCAAGAGTGAGATTTGAAGCTTTCCCTTTTAAAGACGTGACGCGGAGACGAATTCCCTTGCTACATCTACCCTCTCTCTATTCTGATAAACCAAAAAGTAGATAAAATTGTACAAAGGTAGGGAAAAATCTTTTAGAAAATATTTTCAGGGAAATAATTTTGTCCTCATTTGACTTCTTTTCCATCATTTTTTAATCTTTATGCACGCATTTTAGCTTGGTACAAGCCATTTTGATCATGGGTGGAGAGTGGATGGGGAGAGTGAATGAAAACCTTGATGACCTTGAAGAGGATATCAAATCAATCGAAATCAAAGATGACGATTGGAAGTCTCTGGGTGACTCGGAACAGAAACACAAGGTACGAAAACCGTTGGGCTGGTCACAAGGAGTAGAGGAGTTAAACTTGAATCACAGTATTGCCAGTAAATTTAGACATACGACTCGGACCTTCTGATCGGCCAGTAATAAATGCGACGGCACTTCTTGTTTCTAAAAAGCCCAAAGTAAGAAATGTAAGCGGTTTTTGCCTTAAGGAGGGGATTTCAAGAGTCTGCAAAGTGATCACATGTGTAGCATTTCCAGTGTGGGAATGACCAATGTGACAATGGAAACTGGCTGTTCAAGCGTCTAATGAATACAATCCACAATAATCTGCTGAGAACCAATTATTCTTTCAACTTCTCAGAATAATTTATCAGTACCTCCTATGATTTCTTTGATTTTAAAATTCAGGAAATCATGGACAAGATAGGGTCTTATGAGGTTTCGGTGGGTGGAGCTGTGGATGTAGCCAGAGAGGTTCAGCGGCGGGATCTGGTAACCGAGGAAACTGGTGAGACTATTACGCATGAAACAGAGGAACTAGAGGACAGACTGGAACGACTGAAAGCTGAAGCTGACGAAAAAAAGAAAAGGTTTGGAGCAAAAAAAAAATTTTCTTACTTAGATGAGAAATTCAACATGAACAAATTTCATCACTATTAAAATACTAAAGAAATCTTCAATTAGATCAGTTTTCAAATGAGTTTCGAAAAACAAAACCAAATTATTTACAATAGCCAATCGGAGAATATCAACATAATCGTAAGTTAATGAGAACTCGAAAAAAAAATTAAAAAAAAAACAGGCAAAATTCATGAAATGCACGAAAATGCTAGTAACCGAGTCACCATTGATTTTAGTTTGGATCTGATTGGTTGAGAAAGTGATGCAAGTATTCCGACCTAAGTGAGGCAAGAACAAAGAAATCATGGATTATTTTTGACTCCCACTTTAAACTGCTCTTAGTTCCAAACGTAATCCGAAATAACATAAGTCCTGCTTCACTTCTCTCTCTATGGTAGGTCCAGAAAAATCATGGCACCATCAAAACCAGTCAAATGCCTTAGCCACCTGTTTATAGCGTTTTAGGCAGTTTCGTGTGATTTACTCCGATATCTAATTTTCATATTTACCTATGCTCTGATTGGCCTCTGTAAACAAATTTTGGTTTGGGTTCTACGACCCAAACGCATTCTACCTCTCAGGATCGCAGATTCCTTGCGTAAGATTGAGCATTCTACTGCTGTCCAAGAGATTATGGTGCCCTCCAGTGTATCAGTTGCCCACTCAGCTCCCGATCAGGTTAATGGAGATTCTGATGAAGGATTTGTGGAACCAAAGCGACACCTATTTCAGAGAAAAGTTACGTACGAGGTAAGATAATAAATTATTGGCTAAAGGCAGATGAAATACTTGCAAGTGAGATGTCGAACCTCACTGCATGCGAGGCATGGAGTGGTTGTCATGAATATAAATAGGTGAAAGACATATGCTCTTAAATTGTTTGTTTGCTTGTTTTTATTGTTTAATCATTTCGATTCTTTTCTCATGCCACAAACTAATAGTACTTAGTACATTTTTAGTCGATCATAACCAAGAAAATGAAAGAGTTGAAGAAAGAAAGCAAGGCGATGAATGCATGGATGGACGAAACTGAAAAACTTGTGGGTTCACTACGAATAGACATGGATCCAAAAAAGGCCTCCAGGGTGCAGCAGAAAATTGACGTAAGTATGCAGACAGCCCTATAATTTATTAAAATTAAGCGCTGATCTTTGCAATTTATTCAGCTACATAGAAAAGGTGGTCATGATCAGATGTTTCGACAGGAAATCACCAAATTTAGAATGCTGGTCAGCAAACTGTTTGAATATCCATCCGAAATTTGAAATTTTCAGTTTATCGTCCGTTAACTGACTGACGGGCCTCTCGGGAGAGGATCATTATTGAAAGGATTGAGCGTGGGATGGACGAACGGACGAATGGACAGACGGATAGATTAATTTTGGTTATTAGATATGTTTTCCGCAGAGTTACTTTGACATAGTTTATCTATAGCCCGGAACTTGAACTTTTGGTTTCAGGCACGACTGGGAGAGGTCAACGAAAAACAGTCAAAGGTAAACCGCGTCATCCAGCTTAGCAAGGAGATTGAGAACGAGACCATTGACCCAACGGTTAATGAACCTTTCGTGAAGGAAGCCAAGGCTCTTGAGGAAAGGTGGGCCAAGAACAAGGAATTGCTTGAAAATCATGGAGAAAGAGACGCTGCCAGCAAAGCCTCGTCCGGAAGCTGCTGTATTCTGTTCTTGAAAAAAAGATTGTTACCAGTGTGGTCATACAATTAACTGTAGATGATAATGAAAGCAGATATTCCAGCCCTTTAACCTTGAATAGCAAGATATATACTCACCGAATTACAAGGTTGATTTTGATAATAATGGGTGAAAGAGCAATCGATTAAAATTTAATCAATCAAATGTAAGAAACGCTACGTAATTCCAGTTAAAACTTATTTTCTACATTACCTGAAGATTGATTCTTGAGGAATTAGAAATTCAACCACACCTTTACACTAACACTAGTGTTAACTTGCACAATTCTGTTCAGTCTAATTAAACGAAACGAGCAATTCCATTTAAATTCTTTGTCATCTATGGTTATTTTGGCTTGAAGCACTAATTGGCACAATTTAGTTAATCTGAAATCACTGATGTGTTTTACAAAGTGATTTTTGTTTTGTCCTCTTTAAATGACCCCGGTGACAGGGGTGATTAATTACATCGAAAGATGTCTCTAGATTTTATCGCGCAATTAAGATATTAGTTGTAAGAAAAGCAATGAAATAAGTTTGAATTTAATTTACTAGGAAGATATTTATTAGCGAATTCATCTAAAAGTATCACGCCTAATGCAAAATCGTAAAATTTGTTCGTTAAATTAATTACGTAAAAGAAAAGTTAACGACGGCTCAAGTTGCAATGAACAGCAAAATTCAAAATGGTAATTGACAAGCATTAAGGAATGCATGTGTTCAAAACATGAAAAGTAGTCTACCAGTGCAATTTTAATGGACTGAAATATTGTTGTGTTAGTTTGGTAGTATCAACTGAGTAAATTGCACACCGTAAAGGGCTTCAAAGCTGACGTTCCCAGAGCTAGCCCTTCATCAGAGCGAATAGAATATTGAGGAATGAATAGAATTTTGTTACTCTTATGTATAAACTGGCAAAATACCGTAGGTTAGTCGAAAGGGTTAAATAGAGCCTGATCTCTGGTTAGAATTGGCTCGAAATTGTCAAGACGAAACTACCAACTAATTTGTAAGACGCAAGTTAACTCATTAATGAAAAACACAAAAAGTTTTTTAGTTTATGTCTGAGCCTGGCTATCTGCCCTCCACTTTCCTTTCTAATAAAGTTCGGGTATAACACGCACTGCCATTGGTTGAAAGAGCGTGCTCTATCAGAATACAAAGCATAGAGCTGAGCTAAAGCTGTCACGCCATCTGACAACGTCTCGTGTTTCTCCCTACACTTCTTTCGTACTGTAGCCAGCTCCCTCCGTGCTTTACAACAGAACAGAGCACAGTCAAGGATTCACTATTTGTATTTCATATGTCCAGAAGTAGCTGATTGAAAACAAATGGTGGCATAAGGCACTGACATTACCTATGTTGGGGCATACATTTTGTGACGCACCTAAAGCTGATCCGTATAGGGATTTTCTGATTAGGAAAAGTTTATGTAAACTTTCCGTGCTTAGTACCACAAGAAATGATCGAACTATAGTTTACAAAACATGATGTAGGCACAAAATGCTTTTTGGGATTCGGGATACCGAAGGAAAAACAAATTAAAGGGTTAATTGGTTTTGCAGAAAGACTTCCTCTCAAAATACACACCTTGTTGAGAAGGGCGAGATGACGCTACAAGCCCGCTATCGTTAACAGATCACATATATGTGATTAGGGGTGGGAGCACACGGACAAAGGAATGATGAGGAAGGATTCCCTTCTCCTTCTCCTTTTCTTCTCCCTCCCTTTTATTCCTATTTCCAACTTTCATTTGCTCCTGCCATCAAAAACTGACTCTAGCGGGCTGTCCAACATGTTACGGAGAAATGTCGAGCACTCGATCGAACTCCATCGCTAAAAAACTTCCCCTGCACGGTAAGCCATTGAAAGAAACTGGAATATTAGCAACCTCCAAAAAAATATTTGATAGATATATGAAGATTGCATTCGAAAGAAAATGAGGAATGTGGGATTATTAAAACATATATTAATCAAAGGGATTCAGGAGACACAGAACCTCACACCTGCGATAAGGCTTGAATTATGGCAAATTTGAAACTTGTTTATCTTTGGTTTCTCCAAATAATGTTCCGTATCCTTGTTTTTTTTCTAAGTTATCTTTTTCCCAACCATCAAAAATTTTCGGCTCTCCCTACCCTCTCCATTCGCTTCATTTTTTACCATCCTTTCATTCACCTCTACAAAACATAAATTTTGACACCAAGTTCGTTTTTTATTCTATCCACCATATTGTGTATTGCAAGGAGAGTGTTCCTCGACCCTCTTCATTTCATATTTTATATTGGAGTGATGTGCGACATTAAGAGAAAATAGTTATGACGTGATAGTCAATGATAGTGAATGAAAGTTAAAACTGTCATCGACTGTCATCATCGTGACCATTTGAACGGGGCTTAATTCCTTAAATCAAAAATCTATGTTCGAACTTTGCCTGGCTGGGGTGGGGAATTTGAATTGTAAGTGTCAAGTCTTTCCAGCCGAATATAAATGTTATGTCTTTAAAGATGGAGGTGTTTAATTTAAGGTAAACGTTTTACTTTCGTAAGAGAATGGCTCAGGAGAAAAGGGATACATGGTCCAGGTTTCAAAGCTTGCTCAACGTGTAGAAAGTTATGGTGGTGGATTTCTCCTTTAACAAAGCATCGGGTGGGGCATTTGAACACAATTTTTTCCAGGGTTTAAATCCTGGTGGGTTCACACGCTTATTCTCGATTTCCCGCGCAGTTTTCACGCAAAACATGCGCGTTCTTCCAAGACGGGGAAGAGCTGGGAATAAAGTGGTCGAATCCAACATGGCGGTGAGCCTACTGTCATGGAAAATCCCGAACAAGAAGACAGCTCAGCATCTTTTGCCTTTGAGACATGTTTTCCATCGTTAAGTGACGTTTAGATGCAAGGGAATGTAGGCCATATAGATCTACATCAGATACATGTAAGTAAAGAAATATTTAAAGAAACTGCTTTTGTTACAAATATGGGATCATGTGTACTATAGGTGGACTCGGTCGACATATCGGGCGACAGTCGACCGATATATCGCTCGACTATCGGTCGACTATCGGCCGACAATCGACCGACAATCGGTCGACTGTCGACCGACTATCGGTCGATAGTCGACCGATATATCGGCCGACAGTCGACCGATAAATGTGTCGACCGATATAGTCTTAAACCATCGATACTCGACCGATACATGACCGATACTTGACCGACACTTGACCGACACTTGACCGATTCACGACCGATACTTGACCGATGCATGACCGATACTTGACCGATACATGACCGATACTTCACCGGTACTTCACCGATACTTGACCGACACTTCACCGATACTTGACCGACACTTCACCGATACTTCACTGATACTTGGTCGATAATTCATTGCCCCCCGGGGAGGAGGGTTTATTCCACGATAAAAGATATAAAACTCTAATAAGTAATATGATTACCTCGTAATTTAGATGTAAATTGCGTGTCTGGAATCCAGTTTTAAATTTCTCTTGTGCCGGCCAAAGTGCGTATCGTCTCCGGCAGCGAATTCCAAGTCCTTACAGCGGCGAAGTAACGAAGAGACCTTAGACCATGTTTTGTACATCTAACTTTAGGTATCAAAGCATATTTGTGCCCCTTTAATTACGATGCGTGTTCTTTACTTGAAATGAATTATCTGTAGTGGTGGGTGTCTTCTTTTGAAAACATCTGTCTATCGTAATTAACATATCTTGGGTGAGACGACCCTTAAATGTGTTTTGTAAACCAATCAAATTGAGCATTCTTTCTTAATGAAGGGTCTTTTCTATAGATACATGTCATACCTAAGTGCACGGTCCTTTACCCTCTCTAGTTTTTCAAGTATATTCAACCT